CTCCTAGTTTTGAAAGCACTTTACTCAGAATCAATCCATAATTTAGCTAAGGGTAGTGGCTTGGCGCATAGTTAAGAGGTACACAATACAAGGTTGATGTTCAACTCATGACAACTAGCTGAAAGATTAATTCTGACTGGATTTACTGTGCACTCGGGAGACATATTACATAAGGAAAAGATAAATGTGCAGGTTGTAATAATGCCCACAATATAATTTTATGGTCCCATCAACAATCTCCTTTCAATGCCACTGTACTTGTTGAAACATCTTGTCAATCCTACTGGCAATCCTAAGGGGAATGTCACTGCAAATAGAAAATTCAAAGCTCAAATAATCTTAATAATCATCTTATACAGTGTAGATTTGAAAAGCAGGGAGAGAAGATTGACAGAGGAACTTCATAGCAGTGGCAGTTCAAAAGCGGACTCTGTATGGAAGAATAACTAAACACACAAAGTTCTATTGACCTATCTATATGATTTTTTTGAAGAGTATATACAATTTTACAAGTATAAAGTATATTGTAACGCTTAGTAAACATGTTATGCTGAATGTCATGAACAGTAAGGGCCCAATTTACTAAAGCAAATGAACAGAGCAGGGATAAATTGTCATGACATCGCTGTCTCGCATGAGTATATAGGTATATCCGCTCACAGCAAATCCAATCCCTGAGCTGATTGTATACTGATACTCCATGCAGCAGTGTATGAAATTGTGTTTGAACAACTCTGCCAGGGACCACAGAGGGCATATCTGTGCATGCAAACTGTGGTACCTCTATCATAGTATGCACTACAATATTTTACTTTTGCTGTTTTTTTAAAGTTATCATTAATGCTACCAGCACACACTAGACACATACATTTTGTTTTTTTCTGCATGCAAATTCAGATGAAATTTTGTGAATTTGGACATTCGGATGCATATTTGGCAGTGTCCAAATGCTCCTATAGGTGTCCGTTTAACCCCATTGGTGATGAGTCCTGTGTCCTTTAATAAACCTCAAAAAAATATTTTGAGGTAAGTGCTCTCTGTTTTGTCCATTTGGGTAAATTCCCTCAATCCCTGCATGGCTACAGGAATTGATGAAGTCATGGTATTGCTATTATTATTATTATTAATATTATAGAGGATTTATATAGCGCCAACAGTTTGAGCAGCACTTTACAATATAAGGAAGACATTACAATACAATTCAAGACGGTAAGGTGGGCCCTGACAGTGAGGGCTTACAATCTAATGGTATATTTCTCTACAGCAACACAGCACCAATGGTTGGATGATATTCTACTTGATAATGCCGTGAAAAGAGCAGTTATGATAAGTAAAGTACAGCAACTCACAGCTACCAATTAGATTTCAGAACCTTGCATCCAGAACAGTGAAAGATAACTTCTTAGAATCTGTAATACAGTAGGTTTGAACTTTGGATGTTCCTTATATTAAGGCCTGATGTGTTCAGGAAGTTATTCAATATTTAAAATTTTTTGCATTCTGTTTATTTTTTGGGATCAAAGAAAAGCTCAATTGTGTTTGTGGGACTTGATTGATTTTTGTCTTTTTTGTAGGAATTGTTATAGCAGTGGGAGGAGTAACATTACTATGTGTTCTGTGCGGACTTGTAATTCTGTCATTTGGGGTATCAGGAGTGCTCAGCATCTCTTACTTTGCCATATCTAGTATTTTGAACTACATACACAAAGCCAGGTAAGCCATTTCTATACGACATTACTGCATTTTATATTATTATTATGATTTATTATTATTATTAATATTTATCTGTTTTCAGTGTTTTTTTTAATTTTACATGTCTATTGTATTTGTATATAAATTTTAATATTTTTTTAAAATGGCGGCATTAAAAGTCATAAGGTTTTAGCAACACCAGTCTTTCTTACAGAAAGCCATCCTTCCCCTTTATAACATACCTGGTACAGGACTGATGTGGATGACGAGGCTTCCCTTGCAGCTCTTGTTTTACACCCGTGGAAGTGGGAACAGGGAGCGAGCAGACAGAGTAGCACAGGTGCCAAGGTGTTTAGGCTCGGTGCCTGGCAAGAGTCCAGCAACAAGATTCCCTGGGAAGATAGACAGGGCTGGTAGACAGCTGAGGGATCAGCGTGGTCGGCAGCAGGAACTGGAGCGAAGTCAAGCATGCCAGGGGTCAAAGCCAGATGCTCAGCACGGTACAGAGGGAAAAGGCAGAGGCAGGTTCCAGGAAAAAGAAGCGGTCATGGGCAGGCAGGAGACATGTCACTTCCTGTGTGCCATGTCAGCATGTCTGTTATGTCGCGTGCGCATTAGTGCATGTTTTCCAATAATCGGAAAGCTGGGACCATGCGCAGTAGAGCTCAAACTCCCGGCTATAGCCTTACACCCTTTGTGTTATTTTTATGTGCTTGAGTGATGGGAAATCAGCTGATGCATGAAACAGAATAAATTAACCTGCCATAAGCAAGATAAACATTTCCTCCATTTTCCATATAATAGAAAAGGAAAAAAAGGAGTTGGACTTTTAAGGCAGTGCTCCACAACCTTTTTATCGCCGCGGACAGGTCAACGTTTGATAATTTTACCGCGGCCCGCTGAGGGGGGACGTTGATTGTTTATATTTTAGATTGGAATCACCTGTCCCGATAAATCCATATTTCAAGTAGGGCTCATGGTATTGTCTGTTAAAAGTTACATGTTTCTTTGATGTTGAAGGCCCTTCTTCTGTCTCTGCACTGGGCCTTTTCTTTTTCCCAAGGAAACTTTCTAACGACGTCTGTTTCGTACTCATTTTTGCTAATTTGTGGGTTAAATTTGAGCAAACACAATATACACGTACACCAAGCACTGTTAAACATGAGAAAGTACCGGTGAACAGAGAGAAGAGCGATACACACCTTCTCTTTACCAAAGCTACAACGCCACTGCCGCTTGCAGCCGCTCAGCTACAGACGTCACCTAAAACCGCCCCGATATCACGATATTTTGCGCATGCGCGGTATTGGTGCGGCTTTAGGTGACGTCTCTCAGCTCCTGGTTAACCTCTCATCCTGGAAAGTCGGACAAACCAGAGAGAAATACACTACAGTAAATAAAATGGAAATAATTTAATGTTCCTTGGGCGGCC